AACCCCGAGGTTAAAAGTAGAAGTTGGAACCACAATACCTGAGAGAGAAGGGGGAGAACCGACAGGAGTTGAAGGATTTGATGAAAAGCTGGTGTTGGTGTGATCTGGAGAGTAGATCTTTAAGAGATGATGATACACAATTAATCTAGAGCCAGCGACAACGGGGAGGCACAACAGGCAACGGGGGGGGCTGCAGGGAGGCAGGAGGAGCAGGAGAGCGCAGCGCGACGGAGCTCCTCGGGGCCGGGGCTGGGGGGAGGAAGCTCCAGAAGCTCCTGCCCCTGGGGCTCCGCGGCTCTGCCACCACCGACGGACACTCGGCGCCTCGGATCCCTGAGGAATGGCCTTGGAGGAGGCCTCGGAAGGGCTCTGCTACAAGAGGTAGACGTGTTCGCCCTGGATCCTTAAGGAATGAAGGCCTCACAACTGCTCTACTACACCATAGAGACATGTTCCCCTTGGATCCTTAAGGAATGAAGGCCTCACAACTGCTCTACTACACCATAGAGACACGTTCTCCTTGGATCCTTAAGGAATGAAGTCCTCAGCATTGCTCTACTACACCATAGAGACATGTTCCCCTTGGATCCTTAAGGAATGGCTTTGGAGAAGGACTCAAAACTGCTCTACTACACCATAGAGACATGTTCTCCTTGGATCCTTAAGGAATGAAGGACTCACAAGTGCTCTACTACACCATAGAGACATGTTCCCCTTGGATCCTTAAGGAATGACGGCCTCAGCATTGCTCTACTACACCATAGAGACATGTTCTCCTTGGATCCTTAAGGAATGAAGGACTCACAAGTGCTCTACTACACCATAGAGACATGTTCTCCTTGGATCCTTAAGGAATGAAGGTCTCAACATTGCTCTGCTACACCATATAACCATGTTCTCCTTGGATCCTTAAGGAATGGCTTTGGAGAAGGACTCAAAACTGCTCTACTACACCATAGAGACATGTTCTCCTTGGATCCTTAAGGAATGAAGGCCCCAGCATTGCTCTACTACACCATAGAGACATGTTCTCCTTGGATCCTTAAGGAATGAAGGCCTCACAACTGCTCTACTACAACACAAAGACATGTTCCCCTTGGATCCTTAAGGAATGGCTTTGGAGAGGGACTCAAAACTGCTCTACCACACCATAGAGACACGTTCTCCTTGGATCCTTAAGGAATGACGGCCTCAGCATTGCTCTACTACACCATAGAGACATGTTCTCCTTGGATCCTTAAGGAATGAAGGCCTCACAACTGCTCTACTACAACACAAAGACATGTTCCCCTTGGATCCTTAAGGAATGGCTTTGGAGAGGGACTCAAAACTGCTCTACCACACCATAGAGACACGTTCTCCTTGGATCCTTAAGGAATGACGGCCTCAGCATTGCTCTACCACAGCAGACAGACAGGTTCTCCTCGGCTCCTTAAGGACCAGCCTTGGAGAAGGCTCTACCAAAAGGAGCCAGACACCTTCTCCTCATCTCCTTAAGGAGCAGCCTCGGAGAAGGCTTCCAAACGACTCTCCTGCAACACCGAGACACCTTCTCCTTGGCTCCTTAAGGTCTGAAGGTCCCCAACCTGCCCTCCCCTTCAGCTGCAAGCCCTGCTCGTGTGGTGGTCTGAGGTGACCCAGAAGGTCTTTGGACTTTTGGGGTTTGAAGGCAGCCTGGAAGAAGATTTGGCAGAAGAGCAACCAACCACTTCGCTCTCATGAGAACTCAATGGAACCCACTCTGCCCAGAAAATATCTCCAAGGGGTTCTTCTGGAAGGTCAAGCAGGACCAAGTGGTACCCCCGGAGGTGGGACACAGCATCTCCTCCAGGGAGGCTTGGAAGGACTCCTGTATCCCAGCCCCGCCGGGTAAAAGGGGGGAACTGTTGACTTGGAAGAGGTATGGAAGAGGTGGAAGAGCACAAAGGCAGCTGGCTCGGGACACCCTGGAGCTGGGCTCTGCTCAGAATTCCCTACTCCTAGGAAAGAAGGTGGAGGGAAGGGAAGGGGGGAAGGGGATGGAGACAACCTCCGTGGCACCCGGTCACCACAACCAGGTCCTTGGGCCAGGGCAGCCCGGCCTCGGAGGCTTTGGAAGGCCACCTCGGGGACATCTAAACCTACATCTGCTCATGTCCAGGTATCCAACTGGGATGGCTCTGCTTGCCCAGCCCCCCACCCCCCATCCTCCCCCTCTCTCCCACTGGGAAGTGCGCATTCCAAGAGGAAATGGTTCCTTACAGAGGCAAGTGCTTTCCCCAGGGCATCACCAGTCTGGGAGCTTCCTGCTGCCCCACTTCCTCTGGTGGCTGGAAAACAAAAGGATGTAGGTTAAGAGAGGCAGGAGAAGAGGCTGCAATTCCCATTCCCGACCCAATTCCTCAGGGATTGGTCCTCTTCCCACCAAAAACGTCTTCTCTTTGCCATTGCCAGGTCCTCCTCCAACCCATCCCTGCTCCTTATTTGACCGCGTTTGGTTTCGTTCCTCTACATTAAAAGGCTTCCAAGAGGAGAAGATGCTCCAAAGTATGGAGAACACGCAAGGAAAAGCTTGGGATTGGGGAATGCTTCCTGTCTCCTCTGTCCCATCCATCCCAAGGGATGCGCGAATCCCACCAGGAGGCTGGTGGGACACTGGAATGGGTTGAAAGGAGAAGCTGGGGCTGGCCCCTCCCCAGGGGTCACGACGACCTCGA